GTACAGGGAGTACGTGGAGTACAGGGAGTACGTGGAGTACAGGGAGTACGTGGAGTACAGGGAGTACGTGGAGTACAGGGAGTACGTGGAGTACAGGGAGTACGTGGAGTACAGGGAGTACAGGGAGTACAGGGAGTACGTGGAGTACAAGGAGTACACGGAGTACGGGAGTACGAGAGTACGCTGTTTCCCCCTTGGAATGAAGTGGATGATTTTTAGAAAATGAAGAAGATCTTGATTTATGAATCAGGTGATATCCATCCATTTCAAAATTTTTATTATTATGATTTTTATAATTTAACCATGTCTCTGTCAGACAAATTAAATCTGCATTTTGAGTTAAATGATGATTTCTAAACGCATTAAAGTTACATTTCAATCCTTCAATATTATGAAATAGTATGTTTAAATAATTTGAAGATTGTTGGAATATTGGTGGTTTTCTTATTATCTCTTTCATTTGAGAAAGAACTCGATCGATATTCTCATTACAGTAGAATTTATCGAAATGTGTATCAATGAGAAATAAACCTTCTAAATTTCGAACACGAGACAATGCTGTATAACCCATTCCACTACCGAAAAAATCTTTCGTACTGACGACAACTTGATCAACAGTAATACCTTGAGCTTTATGAATAGTCATAGCCCAGCTGAGACGTAAAGGAAATTGTTTTATTCCTTTTTTTGATCGAAAATCTGCATCTTGTTGACCGTTAGCGTCACTTTCTCGTGTTACACATATTGTATCTTGCCCATGACAATATGGACAACTGATTCGATGTAGACGTCCAACTTTAGTTGAGTCACATTTGATTTTTATATGAGAAACTTGTGAATTACTATTTTCTACATAATCTACAATACGACCAGTTACACCGTTGGCCAATCCGTCATTGACACAGATATTTTTTATTATCATTACTCTTGCATTTTTAGCAAGTTTTAGTACTTTATTCATCTTTTTCGTAGATTTATTATCATTCGGTTTTATTTCTCTGTTATGATTATCAACTTCATAAAATGTTCGTATATTGATACAAATTTTTTCAATCATTTGTTCATTATGTGCATCGACTTGATCATTTTTAGGAAATAGATGTAGTGCTTCAGAATGATATTCTTTGTTTAAATATCGTTGATGACATTTTTCAAGTATTTCACGATCTTCTTTGTTCATACCCTCTTTTTTCTTTAGCTTTCGGATACGATTCAACATTTGAGAAAATGAAAAACTTGTCTTTTGTCTTTCATTGATCGTAAGTTCAACATATTCGAAATGATCAGACCAAAGCAATGAAGAATAAATGCTTGATGCAGCAACAGGTGAACATTGATAAAAATCACCTATTGCAATTATTGCAACATTACCGAAGATGGCTGTATTCGAATGTATGCCCATAATTTGAGTAAGACGAGAATGCATAGCACCCCAAAGACTTGATTGTATGAGAGAAACTTCATCAACAAACAGCAATTTAAGAGAATGCAATTTACAACGATAACTATTTAATTTATCACAAGATAAATAATCATTCAAATTATTTGACTGAGTGCCAATACCGAATGCACTATGAATAGTAACTCCACCAACATTTACAGCTGCTGCACCCGTAAATGCTGTAATCAATGTATGAATTTCATCTATATTTTCATCAGGTTCTAATTGTTTTTTACGAGAAAAAATTCTTGTAGCTTCGTAATGAAGACATTTTAATAAATGGCTTTTCCCAGTTCCTGCTCCTCCTGTTATAAACAAACGAAGAGGTTCAACATCGGAATTATGCAAACGTTTTGTACACCATTCTCGTACATAATAAAATATTTCTTGCTGTTCTTTATTCATTGATTCTAGCAATGGTCTTATCTCGTTTGTCGTAGAATATGTTTGTTTGATATCAACAAAGCTATTTTTATTTTTCGTTTTATGAATCATATTAAAGTCAGGATTTTCTTCTTGTTCAATTTCTCTTGACCATGTATTATGCTTTTCTTTGTTAGCAACGATTTCAGCCCAATCATTATCTTTCAAATTCAAAGATAATTCATTGAATAACGATTCTACTTCACCTGTTTCTTTGGCATTAATTTCGTACTTTCTTTGATTTTCATATACAATATCTTTTACTTTTCTGTTGCAGTGTAGTCGAGCATCAAAGATTTCACCAATTTGATAAAATAATTCATAAGGCTTTTTTAAATCATCTCGACTTCTTATAGGTAAATATAGAGATAGAAGATTTTCAAAATAATTTTCTTTATCTGTTTCTCGGTTAAAATATGGATATCGAATAATAGCTTTACGATTACAACGTTTTTTAATAGCAAAATTCAATGTTTGTAAGCGTTGAATTGGTGTTTTTGGATTTTTAACATTTTTACTTATTGGCAAAATTTCATATTCAGATGCAAAATCTGCCATACAAATATCAAATTCAGGTTGGTTTGGTCTATCAAAATATTTGTCAGCTAAATTAGACATATAAATATTTTGATCATTTGGATCCATTTCCTTCAATATATTAGGTGGTTTCAAAAATTTACAACTGTTTGAATGTGATGGTACAAAAACAAAACCTCGACTTGAATATGTTAGTGGCATTTTAGTGGCATGATAAATAGCCTCCTGCACACTAACCTGTCGATGATTAAAAAATGTACCTGTTAGTTTTTTCATTTCGTCACGTACAGACATATTTCCTTCACGACACTCTTTATGAGTTGCTTCCAATAATAAACTCATTTCTCGTTCTGGTTTTGTTGTGTATGACATAAGGTATTTAGCACATGCATATGGATCAAGTACAAATTGAATATCCATATTAGCATCCCATGCTCTTAATATTTCTTCATTATATTGATTGACCCATCGTGCATTAGGTTCTCGTTTATGGATCATGATGGTTCTAGTATGAACTACTCGAAGTGCACATTCATAGTCTTTATAGGTCCAATTATACTTGGTGAGAAGGTTATCAAAATCAGACCATGACAATATTTTTTCTTTTTCTAATGCATTCATTGCTGCATTCATTTTACTAAGAATTTCTTTTGCTCTTTTTGCATATTGCTTATCATCATCAGTAACAATTTTCATTGGTTCACATATGAATGTCCGTCGAGCAACAGGTCGAGGAAATCCAAATCGACACAAAGTTTTAAAATATTTTAAGCAAGATTTTGAATGATTACGAGAATGACTTTGTACTTCTTTGATAAGATAATGTAATACGGCATCTTCATCTAATGAAGGAAATCGTGTCGTAATATATTTGTCACAAAATTTCACAATTTCTTCACGAGTTTTTGCATCGGTTTCAGGTCCAATATATTTAGGTGCACCTTCTACCCAAAGAGGCATATGTGAATGTGGTGAACCTCGTAATTGCATTTCTATACGAGAAAACGAGTCTTTTACATTGCCTAAACATGATGCTCCGCCTTTAATGAATAAAGTCATAAAATTAGTAAATCTTTTTTCAAACAGGCGTGCAGCTAAAACAGGATTAGCTCGTAGCAATTTTGTTTTTTCTTCAAATGTATATGATTCCTTAATTGTACCTCCAGTATGACGTACAAAAGTATCAACGAATTCTTTCCAACGCAGATCTGCACATGATAATGTAAGAAAAAACGTTGGAAAACCCAATTGTCGTGTCATAGCGAATAAATCTTTTAGACGTTTATGCCAATACTGCGGACTACCGCGGACACATTGCAAATGACGATATATCATGTCTTTATTCATTAAAAACTTCATTTGTGTTTCATCTAAACTTTGTTGTGCATTCATTGGTAATTTTTTCCGAAAAGCAATATTGATTCCGGAATAGACTTGTTTCAAGTCACCTAAGTATTGTAGATAAAAGATATAGCTTGAGTCGGCAGCAAACCGAGAATCTGATGAAAATAAACGTGCTTTACAATATTCTTTCCATTTTAGATTTGATTCACGATCTTCATCAAATGATCCTTTCCCGTCTGGAAATAAATGAGGAAAAGCTAATGCTTCAATGGTTTTATCTGTTAACAATGAACTCAATTTATTTTTTTCTGCTGGTGCTACAATACATGGTTCTTTATCAAATACTAAGTAATCGTTAAAATCACATGGCTGAGTACATGAATCTGTACCAATATTATATTTAGTACGAATATCTTCTTTATCTTCGTCTATATCTTCATTATTATCAATAGTAGTCTCCACATCGCCTAGCGCCAATCTTTTCAGACGATTTTCATTCAATATTTCTGTTTCTTCAATTATATTTTCCTTTTCACCACTTTCAGTATCCATTAATTCATGTGTTAGCTTATTGTTTCCTTCGTTGATTGTCTCTTGATCAGATGTAAGATAATTTTCGTTTATTTCATATATCTTTATTTCCTTATAGGCCGGATGTATTTTAATTAAGACAAGCAAGGCATCTCTTATATCATTTGAATTTATTAATTGTTCTTCCCATATAGCTTTATACTGTAATCGTCGTTTTAGTTGTAATCGAACCATCATCGATTTATCAACTGGACGGGGTAAGATTGTTACTGTGTCTTGCACATCTGAAGGCACACAATGAAGTGGCCCTTTGGTACCTTTTTGTGCAAATCGACTTGATAATTTACCAGAGGTTAGATTTACGATTTTCATGAAAGGTAATCGTAAAGCAATTAAATGTTTTTCAAGATTATTTAGTTTTTCTAATTCAGATGGAACTTTACACACTTCCAATTTATTCACGATTGCTCGATTTGGCATTTGTCCTTTCTTTAGTTTATCTGAACATAATTTGCAAATCCAGTGTCTTTGTGTTGCTAATGAATCCCTAAAATAAGGTTGTACATTCTTTTGTATTTCATCTAACAGATTTTGTTTTTTATGCTTGTTTTCAATAAATGGTATTACTTGATTACGAAACATGGCTAACCTACATGAGATGCAAATAAAATCAGGTCCTTCTCGAATTATTTCTCGAAATTTACTCAAGGTATTCATATATAAATTTCCATGTTTTATTATACATTTGTGGCTTTGAATAGCAATGTATTTCTTTAAGATGCGTCTACGATAATTATAAAGGCGTCTTGAATTTTGTCTTATCAATGTATTATTATTTTGATGCCAAATGGAAGCACTTTGAATCATTTTTAACCGTACCGAATTATCATTATGATATCTGTTCAAAACTTGTTTTTTCATGCGTGTTATATATTCATTTCGGAAAGCCAAAACTTCATGATATTTATTTAAAATAGAAGTCTTTGATTGCATTTTAATTTTATTACAGAAGTCTATATTATTATGATATTTATTTAAAATATTATTCTTTGATTGGGCTTTAACCTTGTCACGAAAAACTTGGTCTTTATGATATTTGTCAAAAGAATAATGTTTTGATCGTAATTTTAGTTTTTCACGAAAATTAGAATTATTATGATATTTTAATGACACATGTAAGCTTGTTCGAGCTTTCTCTTTATTACGGAAATCAATGTTATTATGATATTTATGTCGATAGTATTCTCTTGATTGTTCAAATTGTTGTTCATAAAATAAAAAATTGTGAGATTGTTTTTTATTTAAAAAGTTTTTTTGAAATCTTTGTTTTGAAGTTAATTCTGCATTACTGACAATATTTCTCTTTTCTTTCCCAAATTTTCGATTTTTTAATTGTCTTTTTCTTTCATTTTCTAAACGACAAACTGTTGAGACAAGTTTCTTAATAACATCGTCGATAGCTTTTAAATCATCAACTACCTCGGTTAATTTTATTGAATCAACAATTGTATCCTTTTTTTTTGTTTGTAGCTTTTTTTTCGTGTTGCAACCTTCGATAAAACTGATTTTTTTCGAACCATGTTCAATAAATAAACATGTGATTAATTACTTTAAAGAATATATGAGAAAACTATCGTCTCTCGTTGAGATTCAGCACGTATATAAACTAAGAACGGCTAAATTCCTTAGTGAGAAACGATTATTATATCTTAACTTGATAAGATAATAAAAAAAAGGAAAGTTTCTTTCAAACTAAATCTTCTTTACTACTTAGTGAAGAAATAGTTGATTCTAAGTTAGAAACTTTAGAAAGTCAAAAAGCTAAGTGACTTTAATTTAATAAAAATTGTATCTTTTGTTTTGGGTTCTTTTATTATTTCACTGTCTCTTTGACAAATATGATCTAAAATAAAGTTTTAAGCATTACAAATTCAATATAACAACAAGCGATAAAGTTTTTTTTTATATATTTAATACAAGTATTAAAGGAAAAGATTAACAGCAAGCTTGTAGATCTAATTAATTTTAGTAATCATTTGAAACTTTATAACCGTGCAGCCTCTACAAGAGTTTAACAGCATGCTTTAAAAATAAGTTTCATACATTCTTATAGATGACTCTGCTTTATCATCTGTATGTTTCGGTTTTTTTTAAAGTTATGTCGAAGCCAATTTCGTTCAAAATCGTCGTATTCGAACGTTTTTTTTGTGTGCGATGGGGATATCTTATAGAAGGTTGGACATCACACTCAATATTTTAAATTTTTTTTTTCAGTTTATCTGCGTTTCAATGATCTTCCTCTCACGTTTCTTTCTTAAGATAATAGCACTAGAAATGATAACTTTGATACATTCGTTTAATATAGTATGGAAAAGTCAAACAAATGATTCCACGAACCGCTATTGAAGACTTTTCCCAAAAGTTATAATATCGTATCAAATGTGTTTTTTCTCATTTATAAGCATGTTTTGTGATTTCTTTACTCTCATAGCATCACTTGACGAGTTTTAAAGATTTGTTGAGAAGACGACATTACAAAAAACCATCAATACGAAAACTCTATAAATGCTTATAATTTTATTTGTACAGGTACTTTTTATTGATCAATTAATTATCTCGTTGATTCATTATTTATAATCAGCTGTATACACAGCTGTCTTACATCTGAGGTTAAAACGTGGCGCCTAACTTTTCTTTCTGTTTTCGTTTTAATTATCTCAAAAATGTTTTGTTTAAAAATCGGGTTTTTTGGAACTCAATTTGTGAGAGTACTCGGAGAACTACAGATGATTTCATCAAAGATCGTATGAGTTCGGTTTCGATATGTTCACCTCCCGTTTTAATGAAAATTTTCTGACTTTCCGTTCATGAGATCATCGAGACACAAGTTTATGCGTACGCCTAGTATAAAAGAAAAAACTAGATGGTATTCGAGTTTCACTCGAACACGAAATGCGATGCGAAGCACGGATAACGATCAATCGAGAAAATCGAAATCCTGGAGACGACGAAGAATCTTTTCTACAATGTAACACTCAGCGCTTTTTCAAAAGACCGAATTTTGTATAACTTGAATACGTTCTATGATTAAAAACAGGTTGATTAAAAACAGGTTTTAATATAATTTGAATTAAGAGAAATATTAGATTTTTACTAATTTCTATAAATTATATTAATTGATAAATTTGTTATGCAAGTGGAAATTAATGGAGTAATGTTAGTATAAGACAAAGAATATAATAGTAAACTGATAAATATCAAGCAACACATAGAAAAATTTGTCTTTTTTCGAAAGTGTCTGATTATTTGTCAATGCTGATGAGTTCATGTCGAAAATGACTTAAAGTTAGTAACCATGGTCCATTAACTAAATAAAATTCAGATAAATTTTCAGATGTGATGGGCAGTTGAGGATTTTGCTGTTGAAAGAATTTTTGTAATGTGTCTGTTTTCGTGAAAAATGTACTTTTTTGATTATCTATTTGAAAAGGTAGAAAATGAAAATAAAAGAAAGTTTACTATATTATTTTTATGTATAGAAGAAATCATATTACCAATTTGAATAACGACGCTTGTTTGAGTATTTTTTGATTTTGATAACATAAATTTAGAGCAATGTTGACACTTAAGCAGATGTTCTTTTCCTGTAACTGGTATCAAGTTTTGCTTGCATGTGGTACATATAAGGTCTTTTTGAGAATGAACAATCTCTTCAATGCAGCATGTTGTTACTTGAATGTCAATTTCTTTAAATGACATAGATTCTTCCATGTCATTTAAATCAGGAATAAGTACCTAAATATTTTGATGTTATAATTATTATTTAGAGATTAAAGTTCTATTTCCTACATTTGTAGCTTTGTCAATAATACTATTTGCACTTGTAGATAGAATTATTTTATTGTGGATTTTTTTCCATTTTATTTGCGTGAAAATGAAACTTTCACTAATTTGAAGATGTTCAATTAATTCATCATATACGATTAGTGGTGTTGTTCCACTATTGTCACCAATAATGAAGATTTTATAACGACGTTGTTTATCATTTTGAGTAAATGTTATTGTTTCATTTTCATCCAATACTACGGCTTCTATTCGAGATGGTGTAGTTGATAAAAGAGCATCTTTAATTGATGTTGCCGTTAATACACTCATGGGGCGTATAAGAGTACTTTCTGTACAATTGATACATTTATCCAATTTACTATTAATAGATACTTTAATTGTTTTTGTACCATCTTTAAAGAAAAGAATTAAATTTAGTTAAAATATATTTTAAAGGTGGTCAATAATTTGTTACAAATAAATATTATTTTAAAGAATCAAGTGAAATATAAGCAAATAAAGATATACGTCTTACTTGCTTCTGTTGAAAGTTTTCCTTGTAAACGAACACTTTTATTGGTCTTTGCAGCTGTTAACAGTACATTGCCAGAAGTTGTTTGATCGATTTCTAGCGACGAGAACACCCATCCTTGTATTATCTCATTGTCGGCTGTTAAAACATTATATCGACGATAATGTTTAGATGGACCACGTTTCTCTCCAGTTAAATCTGTAATAAATCCAATAATCGAATCCATGTCTTCTAATATTTGTTTTTTATGGAAACTTAATGATAGTGAATACGAATAAATATAAAGATTAATGAGCTTGTATGTTTTAGCATGATAATTAGGAAAAAATGGCGCTAACGTTAATGAAATATTTTGTTCGGAAACGTCTTCTTATCTGATGATTACATGAAAAAATTAATAAAAAATTATAAAAATGTTATTTTTTATAAAGTTAAGCTAATAGTAAACTTATCAAGTCGAAAAGTTTGAAAAAATATTGCTGTGATAAATTACTTTGTCAGTTTGGTGCAAGAAAGAAAAAAATATTTTATATTATTATTAATAATCTATTGCATGTTTAAGGGTAAAATTGCATATTCTAGAAATTATATTTAACATTATGCATTTCATCTGAATCGAAATGATATGATATTAATCTAATGAAAATAATTTAAACATAATCTTAATTGACTATTAAAAATATGTTATCTCTTAAAATAATGATTTTAAAATTTGAAGATTGATCTTTAAATTAATGAAAAGTTTAGTATTTGATATTAATATATATATATATCAAACATTGAAAGTACATTAAATTTTTTCCAAAATCTCGTAATAAATTTTGATTAGACATGCACTGAACCTGAACGGTTCGGGTGCTATTCATGACTAGTAGATAGCTGCTTTTTTTAAAATTTGCTATAGAATTTATTTTTATTCATAAACTTGTTTATTTTTATCGATTAATATTATAATTGTGTAACAGGTACATGCTTTTCATAAAAGGAAGTATTTGTGATTATAACTAAAAAAATTCCTAGCAGACAGTTTTACTCTGGAAAAACAAAACATTACATAGATTATTAAATTTTTTTTTGCAACAAAAAGAAAACAAATAGGAGAAAAAAGGCGTGAGGATTATTTCAATATTTTTTATTTTTGAATTTGTAGAATCGTTAAATTTTTATTTACTCTTAATAAAGAAATATCTATCATTAGTTCGAAAGTTAATAAATGTCTTTATTTGCTTGCAGTTGCTGCTGCTCGAAAGAAATCCAACCTATAAAACGTAATAGTAGAAAACGAATAGAAATTAAATATATCCTTACATTGTTTTGGTAAATAATGCTGCTTGTGCATTATTTTCATCTGTTGTATTATTAGTTTTTTTAATTTTATTAATTTTAGGTATTGGACGATAATTAATGACTATATTCGTAGCAGTATCTCCTTTTATTCCTTTTGTAAATAATAATTTATAAAATATGTTAAAATAAAAATAATTACCTGGGCTAACTTCGAACTGACATTTATCACCTGGTTGTATTTCAGGTTTAAAATTGTTTTTAATTATGTTGGATTTATGAAAGAAAATTTCTTTACGCGCTGTTTTTTCAATATTAGAACTACAATTAAAAAAATGCATAATAATTTAGCAAAATAATGGAATAATGGATATATTTTATTATATTTAATCATTTAAATTAATTTACTGCTGTATATTAAGATTATATGAAGTTTTTCTTGAATACTGTTATTTAGATTTGTATTTTCATACTCACATTTTTATGAAACCAAAATTACGTTGATTAATATATTTAACGATTGTTCCTTTGTATGTTTTTGATACATCCATTGTTTTTGTTGATATATTCGCTGTTTCAGTTGCGATATTCGTTGTTTCAGTTGGCATAGTTGTTGTTTCAGTTGGCATAGTTGTTGTTTCAGTTGGCATAGTTGTTGTTTCAGTTGTCATATTCGTTGTTTCAATTAGCACATTCGTTGTTGCAATTGGTACATTCGTTGAGTTACTTGTTATGATTACATTATTGACTTCCTAAAGTATTAAAAAAAAGTGTTTCATTAACGTGATATTATGTTTAACATACCATAGACATTCTTGAATGGTTATTAATATATTTAATGATTATAATCTATTTTAAAACTGGGAAAAGTTTTTTTTCAATTTAAAGCTATAATTTATTTGATATTGATGCTCAATAAAGAAGTTTTGATAGAAATTTATTGACAAATGAGATATTTATATAGCAAAAAAAGGATCGATAAAATCTGATTAGTTCTAGCGCCACTCGTCATAGACGTCTAGACATGTGATACTGAACAATTGAAAGATTATTCTAGAATTTTCTTCATTTCAAAGAAGTATATTAAAAAAAGATCGTTTTGAAAGAAAGACGATGCAATCATAATACTTAATAATAATCGATATTCTTTATATGTTTTGGTTTGTACTAGATAATATCGTTTCAGATATATATATCGTATATATAGTTATCTTTCATTTTAGTTACATTTAATGATTATGCATGTGAAGAATGTTACAAAATGATGATTTGATATTTAATGATAAATTTAAAAATAATTAATATGAAATTTGTAAAAATAATCTCGAGTTTGATAAATTGTTGAAGTTGACTTAAAAACGAAATCATTGATCATTTTCATGTATTTAAATAATATTAAAATAATTGAAATATTATATTATTATTTTTTTGACTGTTTATTTTCATTGGTAATTACAAGCAAGTGCCAATTAAAAAGTCAAAGATTCCACTATTCAAAAATGTATTCTTAGGCTTATTAATTAATTTTTTTAAGTGTAAAGCAGAATCTGTTTATACAGCACTAATTTTTGTTTTAAGATTAAAAAAACTAGTCATATAAAATGAAAAAAAAATTAGTACTTCGACGAAAGAAAATTTTTAAGAAGAAATTAATAAATGTACCGAAGAAATCTATTTATTATGAACGACATTCTTTTTTACGTAATTTACCAATTTTAATACTTGATCATATAGGTTTATATTTAAGAGGTGCCGATGCTTTATCATATGCTGAATGTGTTACAAATATTGCCTTATCTTGCGAAACAAAATTTTGGCAATCTCTTGGAACGTAGGTTGCCTTTTTTTTTCTAATTAAAAAAAAAAAACTTTAAATAATTTATTTCGGTTTATCATTTTATTTACGAGTGAATCATAATATGGTAAAAATTTAATTTAGATCAATTTTTTCTATCTTATTTAAGAAAATCGAAAATGTATCGTTTTATTCATTGAAAGATTTTTATAGTTACAAGCATGCGAAATACTCAATATCGTCTTTTATACCAAGAGAATATTTTTATTCAATGTCACCTGATTATTTCATACAAAAGTCATCTGATCGTCGATATGCTCGATTTTATTATCATGCTTTCTTGCCATCAACTTTAGACAAGATGACGATACATTGCAAGACACATTCTTTTCGGGCATTCGTACGACTTCATTCATACTCAACACATTTCAATGCTCACCTGTTACCCGTTTTTTCTTTTTTTGATCTTTCATTTATGTACGAATATAGATCGTTAAATGTGTTAGAAGATAAATTATTTCGTATATTACGGATTGGTTCTTTTGGTGAAGATTCTATTATTATCGAAAACATTTATCATTTTGAAATGAATTTAAATAAAAGATTTTGTTTTCATTTAATAAGAAAGTGGATTAACTTTTCGTGCTTTGTATTAGCCGGTAATTAATCAAAAATAGATTATCTAATTTTTAAAATGATAAAATATTTTAGGTGGTGCTGTTTTAAATTCATTATTAATTAATCCTTTTGATTCTATGAATCAAGATCTTGATTTTTTCTGGATTGGTGATTCGTGGCTAGATTTTGTTTCTCAAGTTGACAGATTTCAGAGAAGATGTCAAGCTTATATTATTGAAGAAAAAAATTTCTATGGGAAGGTGTCCGAATTTGTTTTATCCTTTGAGCATCATCAAAAAATCCGGTTGCAATTCATTTTTGGTCGTCCGAATTGTAATATTTCATTTGTATTGAATACTTTCGATATTGATGTTGTTCAAGTTGGATACAACGGATTAAAATTAATATCAGTGAGTTTTTCTTTCTTTATATATCATCAATTATACCAAGTAAATTATTATGTTTTTTATGTTTAAAAAATGTAAATGAAAAATATAAAATTTTACATAAAAAAATTTTATTTTACTAGTACATTTTTTTGTCAATAGTTTCCATTTCTTAATCGATTTCTTGTAATTAATATTGTATTTTTTAAAATTAGACTCTTGGATTTTATCAAGCAATTGCTACACGTAGTTTCATTTGTTATAAGTTAACGCAAAATATTTACGATGTGAACCTTTACATTGACCGTTGTTTCAAGTACCATTTACGTGGCTTTACATGGCTTTGTCCTATGGATTTCGACGATTGCATAGCACAGAAGCCTGTAGTATCCGCATCAAAGATAATTGATTATGGTTTTAATGACTTCTACTTTAATGTAGATTCATTTGAAATTCAAAAGCGTTTTCTTGACTTGTATTCGTTTATTAATGATAAATAAAATAAAACTTGACGTTATGTAGTAATAATACATCATTTTAAAATTTTCTTTTAATATTGTCTGAAAATCTTTGAAAGATATTTTAAAGTATATGGTAATATTGAAATGATACAAATAATAACATGAGTATATTGTTTTTGTTTGTAGAGTGCTCAATAAAAAACGAAATTACGTTTCAGATATAAAAAGAAATAGCGATTCTACTTATTAATTATACATATAAATGCATATATTTGTTATGCAATATACTTTACTCAACATTGTACTAGTTTTAGGTGTTAAAATAATTACTCTTAGGATTCTTTTTAAACATTGCATTTATTAGAAAAAGAAGCAAGCAAATTTGTTTACATGATTAATTGTTGGATGCTACTATATGCGGTTATGTTATAGAAAAATTATTACATGATTTGCTATAATATAAAGTTGTATTATTCTTATTAGAATAGCTTTAATTTACAGTAGTTCTATTTTTTTTAACATCTATATATATTTAAAGAAACTTCTTCTTTTTAAAGTCACTGATTGGGAACCAACAATTGAAATCTTGATAATAATATTTATGTCTGCATAATAACAATTACTTTAATAATTAAAATATTTACATAGTCGATAAAAATGTTTCACAAATTGATATATGTTAATGTAGAATTTAAGAAACATTTTTTTAACACGGTACTGGTTTTTGTTATAATTCGTTGGGCCATTTTATTCAAGAACTATCATGATTAATACAATGAAATGGAATGTTAAGTTTTTATTTTACTTTAATTTTTTTTGTATTAAATGAAGTTGGTGATAATGTTAATTATATTTTGAAGAAATCTGTAAGATAAAACAAAACTTTTTACTTTATAACCAATACTAAAATAAATAAATATAAAATTTTTGTTTGTTCTAACTTACAAAAATTATTGATAGACATAATCATTTATCGTGGAAATTATTGATACACATAATCATTTATTGTGGTTATTATTAAAATGATTATTTCAATTTAAAAAAGAGTAAATATTGAATGACAAAATCAGTTGAAAGAATTCAGTTGTAATACAATACTTATCTTTTCCGATTATTTATGTTAGATTTTTTTCGTAGATAAATAAAAGTTGAATGATCAAATAATACAGTATCGATGTTACTAAAGTAAAGTTTAAAAATAAATAAAATATTAAGAAAAAATAAGTAAAAAAGATATAATAATAAGCAAAAAGTAAATGATAATAAGGAAATAAAGCAATAATTAAAAGCAAATAATTTAAAAGATGATGAATTAGTGGTTTTTTTAGAGAGAAGCTAGACAGATAATAGGATACACAATTCAAAAAATAAGAAGAAGAAGAAGAAGAAGAAGAAGAAGAAAAGAATTAGGATGTAATTATAACGTCTTCAAAAGAAAGAAATGCAAAATTATTATCAATAGAAACAATACTATCATAGTGTATATTAGGAAAATAACATAAATGTACTTGATCCTCAATAAAATCTGATCCAGGAACTAGAATAGGCTTTTTACCTAATTCATGGATAATTATATTTTTATTTATAATAACTGCAGTAGCTGTAATGGCTAGATGATCAACAAAAGTTCCAAATTTGCTCATTTCTTCAATATAATTATCAAATGTTAAATAGGTTTCATCAAGAAATGGTGAAAAAAAAAATTTATTTTTAATAAGATAATTAATTACTTCAGATCGAAGTAGTAAATGATCAGTTTCATTTCTATTTAGTTGATGTAAAATTGCACGAAAAAAACAATTACCATCTCCTAATATCTTAACTTTCTTTAATCCAATTAAAGCAAGTTGCTCTGTTAATGTTAATGTATGTGTGCCTTTTTCTAAAATGCCTTTCTCAATAATATACTTTATATTTTTAAGAAAATCTCTTTGTTTTTCTTTCATAATCTCGCTGCTTCTAGCACTAGTTGGTGAAATAGTTGTTGTTTGATGTATTTTACTTGTACTAGTATGTTCTGAATCTTTTTTTCGCTTACATGTTGTTTTAGGTATATCAATCATTGGTACAGGTGTTGGCATCGTATTAGTTAATTTCATATTTTCTTCATCTTCATATTCAATTTCTGTATTTAAATCTTTTGTTTGATATTCAGTATTAATTGAGAAAATCAATGTATCATGAAAACTATAATACGTTGCTCCTATACCTTTATGGTGATCTTTAGTTAATTTAAAATTACAATATAAACAATCAAGACTAGTTAAACTATTAGTAGTAGGTAAATTTTTATAGATGTTTATAAAACCTAAATTATTTAATTTTGTTTCAATAGATTTTAATTTTTCACTGAGACTATTTTCATTTAAATCGCCTATTATCATGATTTTCCTGTTGATGCCAATTTTCTTTAGATGTTTACACAGATTTGTTAAAAATTCAGTTTTATTTTGTTGTGGCGATCGATAACAGTTTATTATAACAATTTTTTCTTTCAGAAGTTCGAAAGTTATATGCTCGAGATTTAAATGTTCACATGGATCAATTTCTTGAATAGAAATATTATCTCGATAATATATTGCAATACCACCACGTTTTTGAGAATGAAGTAGATGATCACTTGAAAACGAAGATGATCTTGATTTATGAATCAAGTGATATCCTTTCATTTCAAATTTATTGATTAGATTTTTATAATTTAACCAAGTCTCTGTTAGACAAATTAAGTCTGCACTTTGAGTTAAATGATGACTTCTAAAAGCATTAAAGTTAGATTTCAATCCTTCAATATTATGAAATATTATGTTTAAATAATTTAAAGATATTTGAAATATTGATTGTTTTCGTGTTATTTCTTTCATTTGAGAAAGAACTCGATCGATATTCTCGTTACAATAAAATTTATCGAAGTGTAAATCGAGAAGAAATAAACCTTCAACAGTTCGTACACGAGACAATGCTGTGTAACCCATTCCACTACCGAAAAAATCTTTTGTACTAATGACAACTTGATCAATTGTAATACCTTGAGCTTTATGTATAGTCATAGCCCAGCTGAGACGTAAGGGAAATTGTTTTATTCCTTTTTTGGATCTAAAATCTGTATCTTGCTGATCGATAGTGTCACTTTCTCTTGTTACACATATTGTATCTTGTCCATGACAATATGGACAACTGATTCGATGTAGACGTCCAACTTTAGTTGAATCACATTTGATTTTTATATGAGAAACTTGTGAATTACTATTTTCTACATAATCTACAATACGACCAGTTACACCGTTGGCCAATCCGTCATTGACACAGATATTTTTTATTATCATTACTC